CATAATAATAATAATAATAATAATAATAATAATAATAAGAAGAAGAAGAAGAAGACGAAGAAGACGAATACGAAGACGAAGACGAATAAGAAAACGAATAATAATAAGACAACTAATACTAATAAGAAGAATAATAAGAAGAATAAGAAGAAGACGAAGAAAAAGAATAATAATAATAATAAGAATAAGAATAATAATAATAAGAATAAGAAGAATAAGCATAATAAGAAGAATAAGAATAATAAGAATAATAATAAGAAGAATAATAATAATAAGAAGAATAATAATAAGAAGAAGAAAAAGACGAAGAAGAATAATAATAATAATAATAATAATAATAATAATAATAATAATAATAATAATAATAATAATAAGAAGAAGAAGAAGAAGAGGAGAAGAGGAGGAGGAGGAGGAGGAGGAGGAGGAGGAGGAGGAGGAGAGAGCTGACGGCAAAGCTTCTGTGTGCTCCGAGACCGCAGGACGCCGGCGAGGGGGCTCCCCCGACGCCCGTTTCTCGAGGCCTCCCAGCCTCCGATGCTGGCCCGACGGATTCGTGGACTGGGCCTGTCTGGGCTCGCTCCTTTTCGGGCCTCGGCCGTCTCTTCAGCTGCCAGAGCTTTTCAGGAGGGAGAACAAAACACACAGACACAATTGATACTCGATGCCCCAGAACATGTGGGGAAACATGGGAAGCGGGGGGGAAGGCAAAGACCCAGAAAATATGGGAAACTATGGGGAATCCTGTTATCTGCGTGTATTTATTTGCGTGTCCTTGGGCCCCTTCAATTCTGCCAGCTTGAGATCGTTGGGGCGGGCCGTTTTGCCCGGCGCACTCGCGTAAGTCTCGTGCACCTTGAGCCAGCACAGGGCAGCAGAGCGCAGCGCCGTCTCCCGCCTCTCCCTGCATCGGCAGGGAGAGCGCCCGTGGGATTGGGAGCGCTCGTCTCTGCTGCCATTGGCTCGAGGTGTGCACGCCCGATATGACTGCCAGCACGCTTGCTGGAATTATTGTACGCTTCTCTTTCTCACACACACATATATATAATGTATATATATATATATATAAATGTCTTCCGTATGTGGCAGCAATGTACCATGTGACGTTATCATGTTGCTTTCCACTCCGGTATGTGGCAGCAATGTACCTTGTGACGTTATCATGTTGCTTTCCATTCCGGAAGGCCTCTTGGGCGCCTCTTCAGGGCCTCTGCGGGGTCTCCCGGGGGACTCTTGGGGGACCTCCCGGTGGCCTCGTCCAGGCCCCTTGGGGCGCCGGGGGCCTCTTGGGCGCCTCATCAGAGCCCGATGACTCCCACAGGGGCCCACCAGTGTCTCTGCCAGGAGGGGGAACTCGAAGCTGCCCCTGGGGGCTCCTCTCCCTGCATCTCCGCCCCGAGCCCATGGACGGCGCACGGCCTCGCGGAGGCCGAAGCCGCGGGCGAGCCCGCCGGCACTGAACAAGGTCGACAGCCCTGGGAGGCCCGGGTCCGAGGATCGGAGGGCACCAAGTATACACCAACACCGATCCTGGCCAGGATCGGTGTTGGTGTATAGTTGGTGCCTTCCTAGAGGAGTCCGCTCCCGCGGCGGTCTGGGACGCCCCGGGCGCCCCGCGGAGCGCCCTCCCCGCGGGGCGCAGCCGCCGGAGAGCACCCCGAGGCTCTATAGGAGGCCGCCGAGGGCCGCCGACGGCGCCCGACGGCTTCGAGCCCGAGGCTCGCACGCCGCCGCCGCCGCCGCCGCCGCGGCGCTTCACCGCTCGACCGCTGGCCGCTGGCCGCTGGAGGGGGAGGGGGAGGAGGAGGAGGAGGGGGAGGAGGAGGAGGAGGAGGAGGAGGAGGAGGAGGAGGAGGAGGAAGCAAAGGGGGAGGAGGAGGAGGAGGAGGAGGAGGAGGAGGAGGAGGGGGAGGAGGAGGAGGAGGAGGAGGGGAGGAGGAGGAGGAGGAGGAGGAGGAGGAGGAGGAGGAGGAGGAGGAGGAGGAGGAGGAGGAGGAGGAGGAGGGCGCGGCTGGCGCGAGGCGCGCTTCCGCGGCGACCTGGAGCGGCAGGCCGCCGCCGCGCGCGGGCTCCCCCCTCCCGCGCTGCGTCTGGGCGGGGGGGGGGGCCTCCTCGGAGGCCTCCTCCTCCTCCTCCTCCTCCTCTCCTCCTCCTCCCTCCTCCTCCTCCTCCCTCCTCCCTCCTCCTCCTCCTCCTCCTCCTCCTCCGCCTCCTCCTCCTCCTCCTCCTCCTCCCTGAGGTTGCGTCGGGCCTGTCCCTCAACAGGAGGAGTTTGCAAGAAGGGCCAAGAAATAGTCTGGGGACGATTCGCCGAGCATGTTTTTACCATCTTTGCGCAATCTGTTGGTATTTTTTTATGTTTCCTTCACATCCCCCTGGTAGAAAGACAGGCGCGACTTAATCCTAGGGGGTTGGAGCCGGCTGGGGGCCTGAGGTGGCCCAGCACGGGCTCTGGCGGGCAGGCAGGGGGGCCGGGGCAGGTTCGAGGTTCCGTGGCCGGGAGGGTTTTGGGCCACCGGGGGGGCGTCTTCGGGCCTTGCGGCAGCCAAAAGTGGGCCAAGAGGGGGTGGTGCCGGTGGCCGTGTCTCGGGGGTGGCATCTCGAGGCGCTTCGCAACGGCGGCGCAGATGTGACGCCTGGGGCGGGCTTGTGCCGCCGTTCGCGTTGCGAGGTCCGACTGCATGTGAATTCATGCAGTCACCTTGGGCACCTCCCTTCGGGTTGTGTCGCCCAGGTGTTCAGTCTCGGCACAAAAAGAGCGCTGCGCCAGATGGACCCCCAGAGGGGTCGGGGGGCCGGTTTGGAACGGATTTGGCTGCATCCGGCCTCTCGACCGATTTTGTGGGGTCCCAACCCGTTCAGACTCCCGAGCCGCCTCCCAACCTGGGGGCCTCTTGGGGCTTCTTCGGGGCGTCGTCTCGTCGGCGAGATCCGGACCCTAGCCTCGCCGATCAATGTTTCGGGCAGCTCGACGGGGGCACGGTTCGGAATTCGCCGAACACGCGGCGAAATCCAAAACCTTGCCCCCGCCTCCCATCGATTCTGCAGGATCAGTGGTTGGCGGGGATGGGGTTCGGATGTTGCCATCCATCCTCGGGGCTGGTCAGAGGGGCCTCTTGGGTGCCTGCCCGGGGGCGTCTTGCGGCCTGCTGGGGACTTGTGTGGGCGCTCTGGGGGTCGTGTTTGGGGCAGTGCATCCCGCAGTAGATCAGGAGGGGAAAACACACACAGACACCATAATCGTCGATCCCCAGGAAAATTTTTGGGGGGAAACCGAAGTTCAGAAAACATGAGGAGCTATGGGGGAATCCTGGGATTTGTGTGCGTGTGCCTTTATTTGTGTGTCCTTGGGCCCCTTTAGTAGAGGTCGGCGGTGAGCGAGGGGGGAAGAGTGAGAAGGGGCGGGCCTTCTCGGAAGGCTCGGAAATCCCCCGGCCTTCTGAGGAAGGCTCTCTTAGCATTCCCCGAAGACACCGACAACTTCTCAGAAGGCGTGAGGGCTTCTGAGACGGCCCGCCGCCTTCTGAGGAGGCCTTCTCTTTCTCACTGTCCCCCCCTCGCTCGCCGAACATCGGGGAAGGTTCCCGGGGTGGGACGGCGTCGGGGTCTGGATAATTACGCGGCACGAGCGCGCCTTGCCTCGGCGTCTGGCGGACCGATTTTTCCTCGGTCCCAGCGCTCTCTTGGAAGGCGAATTTTCGATTTCAGGGAGCTGAAGAAATTGCTGGTCTTTGGAAGTCGACCTCGACCTCAAACAAAAAACACCGGTCTTTGGACGAAACCGGTCCTCGACCTCCACCTGTTTTAGGACGAGACCGGTCCTCCAAAACCTCGACCTCGATTCGATTGGTTTTTGGACGTCGAAGTCGATCTCCCAAGCCACGCAGTTCTCTTTGAGTTTGGCACCTGGGGGTTTGTTTTCGGCGCCAGGGCCGTCACAAGCAGACCCAGACAAAAAATTACACCGAGGTGGGGTAGGTTCGAGGCGGCAGGTCAGTCATCACTTGCGGCCCTGAACGCCAGTTTTGTCCCTGGGACGGTCGAGTAGTAACCCGGGATGAAGAACGGGCTCTGGGGAAGCGGTCTGGAGGTGTGGGCCTACGCATCGAACGGTCGAAGCACCAGATGTTTGGGAGGCGAAGTGTGGCATCATCAGCATACTCTTTTTTGGCATATCGCCACCGTGTTGTCTGCTTTGCTGCTTGTGTGAATTGTAGCGAAACTGGCTGGAACCATCTCTTGTTGCTGCGCTCTCTAGGACAGAGCGCTCAGCCGCCACTCGCTTTGCGATCGCCCTTTGTGCTCACAGGAGGGAGGTGATGGATGGGTGCAGGGAGGGAGGGGGTTGGAGGGAAGGTGTCACTACGCCCCCTCTTCGCCCGCAAGCCGTCTCGCCCACTCCCACCTGCCCTCCCAAGAGATACGTAGCTCCCGAGAAGCAGCATGTTCAGCGGTAGTCTTTGGACGGACAGCTGCTGGGAACTACAACAGACCCATGTGCGCAACGCGGCGGCGAGGTGCAGAGGTGGACGGAAGGCTCGAGCGTGGAGCCCCGACATCGCGATTCTGCTCGCAGCCTGGGCCCCCCGGGGTCTCGACCCCTCCCTCGGGGCGCGGGCTCGTCGTCCCGAGGCCTCCTGCCGGCGGCCCCTTGGTGGCGGAGAGCGGCCAAGCTCCTCCGCCGCGGCTTCCTTCACGGCGCGAGGGGGTCTGGGGCGGAGGGGATGCAGCGTCCATTTCGGTCCGATCGATCCGCTTCGGCATCGGCCCCCGCCAGCTCGATGCGAGTCGATCCTGATATAGTTCGACGGCTCGACGCGGCCCGAGGTTCGCGTGGCGCTGTTGAGTGCATCCAGGCGCAGCCGATCCGATTCGATTCGTACGCCGTGCCGGTGCAGCCCGATGCGACGAACATTTCGATCCAGTCTGGTTCTCCGACTCGGCGCTGGCTGGTCCAGGGGAGAGCGCCCAGCGGGCTCCTCGTCCTTGTCGAGTTTTCTCCCCGCTCTTGCACGCCGGCCAATTCGCTTCTCGGTGCCCCGTCTAGCTCTCATCGCTGGTGCAGCACACTCTGCCTCGCCGCCGACGGACAACAGTTCGTGTCGAGTTTCTCTTGGGGTGTGCCCCGTATCCCGGTAGGCCGTCGCGCCCCCCACTTGGGACGGTGGTTGCCAGGGGTGTGCCTGGCCCAAGGTGTCTCAGGGAGTTCCAAGGAGGCCTCCCGCGGCATCCAGAGCACCCCGCACGAGGCCCAGAAGGCCCCAGAGGCTCCAAGACGGAGCGGAAAGTCGGGGGATCCTGATGCCAGGAGCACCTTCGGCAACTCCCGGCTGGGTGTTTAGATAGACAACCCGTGATGGGCACGCCCCCATTGGTGGCGCGTGGATAACTGTGATGGGCATCCGCTGGGCCGATGCCCTTGGGCTTCACGTCGGGCGAGGAGGGCTGGTGGCTTTCCCAGCCCCTGCCGCCCAGGTCACGGACACCAAGATCAAGCGGGAGACCCCCCGGGGGCTCGAGCGTTTCCTCGTGCCCTCTCGGTCGCAGCGCGAGCCAGGGATGAAGAGGTCAGGATGTGTCACCTCATGATGATGACCAGGAGGACGACGATGATGATGATGATGATGATGATGATGATGATGATGATGATGATGATGATGATGGTGATGATGATGATGATGGTGATGGTGATGGTGATGATGGTGATGGTGATGGTGATGGTGATGCTGATGATACTGAAGAGGATGATGGTGATGATGCTGATGATGATGATGATGATGCCGATGATGATGCCGATGATGATGTTGATGATGCTGATGATCGGGATGTTGATGATACTGTTGATGATGATGGTGATGATGACGATAACGTTGCTGCTGATTATGATGATGCTGATGATGGTGGTGGTGGTGGTTATGGTGATGATGACAGTGCTGCAGATGATGGTGGTGGCGAGGATACTAATGATGTGGATGATGACGATGATGACGAAGATGACGATGATGATATAGATGACAATGGTGACGTTGACGATAATGATGTTTGTGGTGGTGGTGGTGGTGGGATGATGAGGGTGATGATGATGATGATGACGATGACGATGACGACAACGATGCTGCTGAATTTTAGTTTTCAAGACCACAGTATTGTTGGCCACCCCCCGCCAAGTTACATTGTTTTTTCCATGAAAGTGCTCTTCTCGGGGCGCGCACCTTGTATTCTATCAGGGGCAGTATTGGTGCTCAATCCGTGTTGTTGGTCCCCGAGTTGCAACAACAGCTGCTTCCGCCTGATACTTCTTCACAATTTATTTCAGATTTGCGCTCTCGCGCGTGACTTCCCCAGAATGTACGCAGGAATCGCGCTCTCGCGTGGTACTTCCTGTCGTTCTATTGCGGCGCTGTGCCCCCTAGACTGGAGGCATCACGCTATCAGCTTGGGTTTTCTTCGGATTTACTAGGGAATTGCGCTATCGCTCGAAAATTCCTTGCGATTCATGTTGGATTGACGTTTCAGCGTCCCGCCCGCTCGACCCGGTCGTCTGAGCCCGCCCGCCCGACCTGCCCGTTAGGGTCCTTCCGCCCGACCTGCCCGTCTGATTCTGCCGCTTGCACCCCTGCTCCTAGCCCTCCTCCTGCAAATCTCGCTCGTGCTGCATCCTTCTCCCTCCCCCTTGTCTCATCCCTCGTCCCTTCCTTCCCCTGTTTTACTGGCTGCGCCAACTACACGCGGCAGGTAGGGAAGATATCCCCCCAAGGGGGGTACGATCGAAGACGAAGAGGGCGGGTATCGAGGGTTTGGGATATACGTGTCGAATGGCACGCGGACGGATAAGAGCGAGCAGTCTAAAATTAATTGTTGTTGTCGTTGTGGTTGTTGACTCCTGAGTTCCACAGCGTAATTCTTGTTGATCCCCCCTGCCCGGTGCATATTGTGCTCTTCAATTAAAGTGTTCCTCTTGGGGCCCGCACCCTGTTTTTTAAATCCGGGGAAGTCTTGGTGCTCAAAGTGGGTTGTTGGCTCCCGATTTGCAGCAACAGCTGCTTCCGCCTGATATTTCCTCACAACTTATTTCAAATTTGCTCTCTCGCGCGGGATCTCCGCATGGTTTATGCAAGAATCGCGCTCCTCGCGTGGTACTTCCTGATCAACAATTGCGGCGCCGTGCCCCCTGGACTCAGGGATCACTCTCTCGGCTTGGATTTCCTTACGATTTACATGGGAATCGCGCAGCCGCTCGAAACTTCCTTGCGGTTCATGTCGGGTTGACGCTTCAGCGACCCGCCCGCTCGACCCGGTCGTCTGAGCCCGCCCGCCCGACCTGCCCGTTAGGGTCCTTCGACCGACCAGCCCGTCTGGTTCTGCCGCTTGTACCCCTGCTTCGAGCCCTCCTCCTGCAAATCTCGCTCGTGCTGCATCCTTCTCCCTCCCCCTTGTCTCATCCCTCGTCCCTTCCTTCCCCTGTTTTACTGGCTGCGCCAACTACACGCGGCAGGTAGGGAAGATATCCCCCCAAGGGGGGTACGATCGAAGACGAAGAGGGCGGGTATCGAGGGTTTGGGATATACGTGTCGAATGGCACGCGGACGGATAAGAGCGAGCAGTCTAAAAATAATTGTTGTTGTCGTTGTGGTTGTTGACTCCTGAGTTCCACAGCGTAATTCTTGTTGATCCCCCCTGCCCGGTGCACATTGTGCTCTTCAATTAAAGTGTTCCTCTTGGGGCCCGTACCCTGTTTTTTAAATCCGGGGAAGTCTTGGTGCTCCAAGTGGGTTGTTGGCTCCCGATTTGCAACAGCAGCGGCTTCCGCCTGATATTTCCTCTCAAATCATTTCAAATTTGCGCTCTCGCGCGGGATCTCCGCATGGTTTATGCAAGAATCGCGCTCCTCGCGTGGTACTTCCTGATCGACAATTGCGGCGCCGTGCCCCCTGGACTCAGGGATCACTCTCTCGGCTTGGATTTCCTTACGATTTACATGGGAATCGCGCAGCCGCTCGAAACTTCCTTGCGGTTCATGTCGGGTTGACGCTTCAGCGACCCGCCCGCTCGACCCGGTCGTCTGAGCCCGCCCGCCCGACCTGCCCGTTAGGGTCCTTCGACCGACCAGCCCGTCTGGTTCTGCCGCTTGTACCCCTGCTTCGAGCCCTCCTCCTGCAAATCTCGCTCGTGCTGCATCCTTCTCCCTCCCCCTTGTCTCATCCCTCGTCCCTTCCTTCCCCTGTTTTACTGGCTGCGCCAACTACACGCGGCAGGTAGGGAAGATATCCCCCCAAGGGGGGTACGATCGAAGACGAAGAGGGCGGGTATCGAGGGTTTGGGATATACGTGTCGAATGGCACGCGGACGGATAAGAGCGAGCAGTCTAAAAATAATTGTTGTTGTCGTTGTGGTTGTTGACTCCTGAGTTCCACAGCGTAATTCTTGTTGATCCCCCCTGCCCGGTGCACATTGTGCTCTTCAATTAAAGTGTTCCTCTTGGGGCCCGTACCCTGTTTTTTAAATCCGGGGAAGTCTTGGTGCTCCAAGTGGTTTGTTGGCCCCCGATTTGCAACAGCAGCGGCTCCAGCCTGATATTTCCTCACAAATCATTTCAGATTTGCGCTCTCGCGCGTGTCTTCCTCAGAATGTGTGCAGGAATCGCTCTCTCGCGATGTACTTCCTGCTGATTTATTGCGGCGCCGTGTCCCCTAGACTCACGAGGAATCACGCTCTCGGTTTGGATTTCCTTACGATTTACTTGGGAATCGAAGTATCGCCTGAGCCATCCTTGCGGTTCATGTTGGATTGACGCTTCAGCGTCCCGCCCGCTTGACTCGGCCGTCTGTGCCCGCCCGCCCGACCTGTCCATTAGGGTCCGCCCGCCCCACCCGCCCGTCTGGTTCTGCCGCTTGTACCCCTGCGTCGAACCCTCCTGCAAATCTCGCTCGTGCTGCATTCTTCTCCCTCCCCCTTGTCTCATCCCTCGTCCTTTCCTTCCCTGTTTTACTGACTGCGCCAACTACACGCGGCAGGCAGGGACGAAAACCTCCAAGGGGGATACGATCTAAGACGAAGAGGGCGGGTATCGAGGGTTCGGGATACACGTGTTTGATGGCACGCGAGCCGATAAGAGCGAACAGTCTTACATTTGCTGTTGGTGATGATGATTCTGATGTGGATGATGGTGATTATGATCTTGATGATGACGATGCTGATGGTGGTGATGATGCCGATGCTGTTGTTGATGATGAAGCTGATGATGATGATGATGATGATGATGATGATGATGATGATGATGATGATGATGATGATAACGATGATGAGGATGATGATGATTATGATGGTACTCATGATGATGATGATGATGATGCTGATGATGATGATGACGATGCCGATGAAGTTGACGATGATGATGATAATGGTGATGATGATGATGATGATGATGATGATGATGATGATGATGATGATGATGATGATGAGGACGATGCTGATGATGATGATAGGAGAGCGGGGAACAGGAGGGGGATGATGAGTGGAGACCCATGTTCGTTTCACAGGAATACTTGTAGTACGTGTGTGCCCGCTCACGGCCCCTTTGTCTCGCAGTGCCGTTCAACGGGAAGGAAAGAGGGGTCGTGGACTTGACCATGGTAGTTTCGGTTGGAGCGCGTGCGAGAAATCGGGAGGCCGCGGCTGTTTGCCAAACTACTATGCGGTGAACTTGGTGTCAAATCATTTCACAGATGGCCGAACACATCCTGGCTGGCCGCCATCCCGCGTTAGCACGATATCAGCCTCCTACCTTGGAGTCCGAACGTCCGCCATGCCGTATCAACAGACGAGATTTCGGATCTCGCTGTGGCATCTTGAGCCTTGACGTGCCCAAGGGGCTTGACGTACGCCTTGCTGCCATATTTCCATCGTGCTCCAAGCAGTTAGCCGTAACTTGGCGGGCGCTTTGGTGCTCAAAGCATTGCGATGGATCCTGCTTCCTTGATTCATATATTTTCGCACTCCAGCTATTTTTCAAGTTCACTTTGCAAGCTTTCTTAAGTTTCCACAGTCATGTTCTTTTGTTTTTTGTTTCTAAGTTAACGACTTCATAATATTCTCTAAGTCAGTGATTCGTTCATTTTTTTGTTCCTAGTGATTCTGTCTGTGCCGTGCACAAGCAGAGCGCAAGCTCGATTAGCAAAAGCTGGGTTACTGCGGGTCTGATATGCCAGCTGCCTTTTTTGGCGCGTCGGCTCGTTCATTGGGTAAGTCTTCGCCTAAGACCTGAAAGCCTGAGCGTCGAGGTCCTAGACCATAGTCCTGCACCCAGAACATTGAACCCGAACTGACGGATCCTCAGCTTTGCGATACCGATTTTGGCAGGCCCGATCCGATTCGATCCCGACGTTTCGACGATCCCATGCGGCCAGATGTCTGCACGGCGCTTTTGTGCATCGTGGCGCGGCCGATCCGATTCGATTCCGATGCCGATGCAGCCCGACCTGGCGCAGACTTCAATTCGATCCGATTTGCCGCTTCGATGCTGATGATCCTGCCGTGTCGCTCTCCATTTCCAGACGCCCGGCGTCGGGTTTTTTATTGCTTCTGTTGTTTTTCTCTTGCACGGCGTGGTCCACCCAGAGGTCTCAACCTTCTGCCCGGGACTGTCTCTTCATCCCGCGCCAGTCTAGGAAGTTCTGGGACCCAGGGAGGGCTCTGAGAGGGCGAGCCTGCCAAACGCAATCCGCCGCGATGGCTCCACGCCGTGGGAAGGTCTGGTTCTTCCTTTCGACCCCTGGAGTTCGCCAGTTGGCGGCCACGCGCAGAGGGGGGTAATGGGGGAGGGGATCAGGCTTCTTAGAAACACCCTTGCTTCTTAGAAGGCCTGGGCCTCGTCTGTAAATGTAGGGCCGCCGCCTTCCAAAAAACAGCCTCCTTCTAAGAAGCCTTCCCCCCTCCCCCTACCCCCTCGTGCGTGCCGCCAACAGGGCGCGTCTCGATCATCATGTCGAGGCGAATCGCGGGGGCTCCAAAAGGATTGCACAGATGCCAAAGGATGTGGGGATGCCTGGGCGGCCTGGGCCGCCTCCAGTGCAGTAGCAGGGGGCCTTGGGGGGACCGCTCCTCTCCCCGCTCCTCCGCCCTCCCTCCTCCCCCTCCTCCTCCTCCCCCTCCCACTCCCTCCTCCCCCGTCTCACTCTTTCATCCTTCCTTCCTTTCTCCCTCCCTGCCTCCCCCCCTCCCTGGCATGAGCTGGTTTTGCCGGCGCAGGCTTCGCCGGCGCTGGTTTCGCCCCGCTGGTTTCGCCGACGGCTGGTTTCGCCAGCGCTGGTTTCGTCGGAGCTGGTTTCGCCCCGCTGGTTTCGCCCCGCTGGTTTGGCCGGCGGCTGGTTTCGCTGGCGCTGGTTTCGCAGGCGCTGGTTTCGCCGACGCGAGCCCTAGCGGGCGGGTCGGGTCGGGCGGGCGGACCCTAACGGGCGGGTCGGGTCGGGTCGGGTGGGCGGACCCCAACGGGCGGGTCGGGTCGGGCGGGCGGGACATTTAAGTGTGGGGCGCGCTCGACCGAGCACGCGCGAACTCTAATGGGCGGGTCGGGTCGGGCGGGCGGACCCTAGCGGGCGGGTCGGGTCGGGCAGTTTTGCCGACGGCCGCTGGTTTCGCCGACGGCAGCTGGTTTCGCCGACGGAGCTGGTTTCGCCGACGGAACTGGTTTCGCCGGGCGGCGAAACCAGCCGGGCGAAACCAGCCGTCGGCGAAACCAGCGGCCGCCCCCTCCCTCCGGCCCCTCTCTTTCTCCTGCTCCTCCTCCTACTCCTCCCCCTCCTCCTCTTCCTCCTCCTCCTCTTCCTCCTCCTCCTCCTGGTTTCCCTTTCCTTCCTACCTCCTTCCCTCCCTCCGTTCCTCCCTCCCTCCTTTCCTCCTTCCTTCCCTCCCTCCCACCTTCCCTCCTCCTCCTCCTCCCCTCTCCTCCTCTTCCTCCTCTTCCTCCTCCCCTGCCTTCTCCTCCGCCTCCTCCTCCTCCTCCTCCCTATTCCCTTCTTCCTCCTTCCTCCTTCCTCCTCCATTGTCCCTCCTCCCTCCTTCCTCCTCCCTCGTCCCTCCTCCTCTTTCCTCCCTCCTCCCTTCCTTCTGACCTCCCTCTAGCTCTGGCCGAACCAAGAGCACTACGAGGTATGTTGCAAGTTAGCTCGAGCTCTGGGCGAGCTACGAAGCTGTCAAGCACACGATTCCATAGGAGATGACCGCGCCCATCTAGACGTGACGCGAGATATATCCTCATTGTTTAAAGTGATAGATAATCTTCAAACTGAACTGATCAACTTGAGCCGAATATTTTCATTGCATGGGTGTATTTCATCTTGACTCGAGCTGTGGGCAGGCTACGAAGCTGTGAAACACCCTCCTTCCCGCCCTTCGCAGAGCTGAAGGACACGAGGCGTCCGCCGAAGATTGGTACTCCTGTGTACGCGACGTCGGAAAGTGGCATTCCCTGGAAAACGAGTTCGGCATCCTCGAGGGCCGAGGGAGGCCCCATCCACCCTGCCCGCCAACGGCCCGCGCTGTCGCGACCGCGGGGCTTGTCTGCCTGCCTGCCTGCCTGCCTGCTTGCCTGTGTGCTTGCCTGCCTGTCTGCCTGCCTGCCTGTCCGTCTGTGTCTGCCTGTCCGTCTGTCTGTCTGCCCGTCGGCCTATCCATCTGTCCGTCCGTCTGTTCCCCTCCTCCTCCTCGTCCTCCTCCTCCTCCTCCTCCTCCTCCCCTCGGGGCCAGCCGACTGCATATGGGGCCCCCCTCCCCCCCCGCTTCTGTAACACTCCAGGGCACCGGGGCGCGGCGAGAGTGGTCGGACTTTCCGAGACGCGCGAGCCCCAGGAGCGCGAGCGGGAGCTCGACTCCAAGTACCACGAGGATCGCACCGGGCTCTGTCCCCCTGTCTCCTGCTTCTTCCTCTTCCTGGTTCTCCCTCCCTCCGTCCCTCCTTCCTCCTTCTCCTTCTCCTCCTCGTCCTCTTTATCCTCCCCGTCCTCTTACTTGTCGGCCTCCTCTCCTCCTCTTTTTCTTCTCTCTCTTCCTCCTCATCCAGACGCGTATCTCCGACTATATGACTTTTTCAATTTGCGCGTGATTCCTCGATTTTGGCTTTGGGGTGCGTTATCGGGCCCTGGGACCTCATGACCGGCGAACGTATCCAGATCCACGCCCTCGCGGTTTGGATTCCGAGGCGCGAGCCCGCGGATACGCGGACGCACGGATGCGCTCCGTGCGGGGCATCCGCGCAAAACGCCCCGTATTTGCGGGGTCGCTGCCTAGGGGCCCCTAGTGGCCCGCGCGGTCCCTATTGGGGTACAGCTGTGCAAACCTGGGGACCTTGTGGACTTCCACAGGCCAATGACGACGGAGGACGACCATGGCGGCTGGAATGGACCATACCTTGTACGTAGAAATGAGCTTGAACGCGGACAGCTTGTTGTCAAAGCTGGCTCCAGATATATAGTGGTCCATTATCGAGACGCCCGACAAGCTCGCTGTGTGGAGGCGCTTTTCGCAGGAGAACTGAGTATGGACAGTATGGCCATGCGAACGGTCGTATCCTTCATCGCTAGTCTTGGAGCATGGAACTCTCTCTTCACGTTTGAATGCGTTCCTGACGGTAAAATGAAAACACCAGGATGACGGAAGGAAGCAAACTACATCCTCGTACATATGGTTCTGCAGTACCTTCATCCGAAGTTATTTCCTGGTAAAAAGAGGCATTGCGGTCAGACAAGCCCACAGTGTTGCGACACTTTCTCTAGTGAAGTACGCAGCTAGCTGCGCACCGATACCTTACAACGGCGATCTGTATCCTGGTTTCGTACTACTACGGATGTGAAGGTACCAGACTACACGTGTCCAATGTCACGGGTAGCACCCATTATCGCTTCATTCAATGGTTCAAATCCTCTAGCCAGACCTCGAGGGTTGACGAAATTTTGGTTAAATCTCAGGAGACGACCGACCATCCATCAAACCAGGATAAGTCTGGCCAGCGACACGACCCAGAAACACGTATGCCGTCGGACCACGGTCGGTTGTCGACAATATACGAAGACAGTGAGGAATATGATATCGAATCCATGACCCTCGACTAATATCACGAGCTGCGTAGGGACCTTCGCAGACTCACCGAACATGATGACGACGTCCATCGCTTTTCCACCGCTGTGATCCCTGATCAATGTGTGCTGGTTACGGCGGTGGACAAAGACGGTGACCTGCATGAAGACCTGCCTGAGTCATGGCCTGGATACGGGCCTTACTCTAGGGAGGCCTGCTTCGCCCCTTCTTGCTCTACCGAAAACTGCAAGTATAGAGAAATGTGCTTTACTGCTGTAATTGCGAAAGCCGTTCCCGCTCTGGCACATATAGATGCCGTAACTATTCGGGATGTCGCGACCGTGCGTGTATGCGTATCGTCGTTTGCGAAGTGGATGACGACGACCTAGTTACCAAGGTGTACGTCGGTGGTGATCCGAAGAAAGTAAGTGAGGCCCTTTATGCAGAGCTGAAAACTTGTCCCGAGGGACTTTATGGACGTCGGAGTCGGAGCGTTCCACGTCGAAGCTTTCTCTGGCGCTGCCTGTCGCCAGTCGCGACGTGTACTCGCAAGCGAGGCAGCATGCCACCCTAAACGGGATCTAGCATCCATGGACGTTGACGAAGCATTCCGCAAATGTCTGACCCCGAGGAGTTGGCTGCAGCGGCCTGGCGTGCAAACTCGCCAAGTGTGCTTCGCATTTCCAGCAGGGAGCGCACTGGTACTGCGCGGGCTGCCGGGCTTCTCTAGGTGCGACGAACATCGTCATTTCCTGGCCCACTGGCCGTTCTGGCTCAAGTGGCGCAACACCATGAGAGGCATTTGCCAAAATCCAACTGGCGTTGACCCCAAACCAGGATGCGACCCTGGCCTCATCTCCGGCAGACACGAGGGGGACATCCAGCGTTCCGACTCCAGCATTCCGACTCCAGCGTTCCCACTCTGGCTCCCAACTTTCCGACTCCAGCGTTCCGACTCCATCGTCCATCTCTTCGACTCCGGCTCCGGCTCGTCTTCTGAGGGGCCCCGGCCCCCCCGCGCTGCCCTCATAGGGCCGGCCCCGCTGGACCGACATCGCGCGCTCGCTCGCTCGCTCGAGGGGGACATCGGTGTGGCGGGACTTGCCGGTGACGTTGGCGGTTGCGTTCGGCGGGTCGAACACGTATTTGGCAGTATCAAGCTCAGCGAGCACGCCTGCGCGAGTTGCGCCGTTCACTTCGCGAAGAAAGGCGACGGGGATGCGATCGTGGATCAAGGCGACTATATCGAACAACGTCGACCCATAGCTCACGCCCGCGGAAGCAACGGTAACGGCGGTTGATTCCGATGTGTTAGTCGGCCTTCGTGGGGCTTTTGCCTATTCGCTGCTCGCCTAGATCTGGTTTATGGTCAATGTGGGTTCTTTTTCCAGAAGATGGTTTCTCTTTGCAGAGGATACAAGCGCCTGTGAATGTCCAGGGTCGTCGTTTCGATGCTGCGATGTGGAAACTCATCAGCAACCCAGAGAGATATGCCGTTCCTCGAATGCCCCCTTGCGGGCAATGTTGACATCCTCGGCGACCCCCTCTACCGTGGATTGCGTGACGTGGCGATGACCGAAGGCGCTCCGCGACGCATGTGGAATCGGTGGCTTGGCTAGTGTGGTATCCTTGGATTTTGTTTGGAAATCAGCGTGCAAGCCTTTGTCTTGGAAAGACCTTGAGATTCCGACCGAAAAGGCGCTGCTCGGTGATATCAGTTGGCCATTTAAACTCATGCATGCGTAGGTATTGAAAAAAAGGTCTACAATGGCGTGGCGCACTGGACGTGGCCGCGGACGGCCGCGCCAAGGGGACTGTTGGCAGGAGTCTCTTCTTGGAAGTGATGTCGGGGGACCAGTCTTCCAAGCGTCGCGTCAAATCATTCGTCCTCTTCAGGGGCCATCGCGGGGCGAATGCCGACGACCCAGAGGTACCGCGTTGAACGAGGCGTGCATCTTGTTGGGCGATCTACTGCGCGCAGGTCGCCGCTGATCTGTATATGCATATAAAAGATGTGTATATATAGAATAAAAAGGCGCGCTCTGCGGGCGCTAGAGTGGGCCGAGTTCCGTAAGGCCGCTCGGCAATCGGCTTTTATATTTTCACAACATCATGTGTCCAGACTTGTCCGTGAGGACCTCCCAGCGCCTGGCCTGATCGGCCTTTTCGGCTCCTTCTTGCGCGATGTTCGCGGAATGAGTTCGCTTGGACTACTCCTTTTCGGGCTTCGGGACTCTGGTGGTTCCAGATATCGCTGGCGGGGAAACGCTTCCTGCCCGTTTTGCCAGACGCGCTGAATTTTTGTTGGCGTGCACTTCGCGCCTGTATAGGGCGGTAGTTTGCAGTGCTGTCGCGCCCTCGCCGATTTTCAGGGAGGCGTCCAGAGGGGCGATGCGCATGCTCCTCTGCCGTCCTGGCTCAAGGCATGCGCGCCCCATTTGATGGCGTATACCCGGGCGCGCTATGCGAGAGGAAAGTGATCGCCTCATCCTTGGAGTCACCCGTGCATCACATCTTATGCCATTCCTTGATATAGCTTGCGATGTATTGTGTGACATTACCGCGTTGCTTTCGACTTATTCGGCCGTTATGGGGCCATCTTGGGCCGTCATTGGTTGCTTGCATGGGCCGTCGTGGGAGCTCGGGGCGCAGATGCGTTGTTCCTTTGCGATGGATTGTGGCTTCGGGAGCGCGTTTTTTTTGTTGTTGTTTGCAGTGGACTGTGGCCTTGGGATGGGGGGGGTGCGCGCGACTGGGTGCGAGTAGAGAGAGGGGGCCCATTATCAGAGTGCAGGCACCCTTCCCGACAGCATCTTAGTACTCTTCGACGCTTCAGCGTGCCATGGGGGCACGGTGGCGGATGAGGGGAGGCGCCTTCTCGGATCGAGGAGGTGATGCAAGTTTTCTAGCATTACCCAATTTAGGTAAAAAAAACGGCAAGCTCGCGAGTCACAATTGGCTGCCGGCTGTAGAGGTACTTTCGTCGACTGGTCGAACATCGATCCAGGATGGAAGGCCGGCGTGGATGGGACTGGGGAAGGGTCGGGGGTCGGGCGGGTTTCTGAATGCGGGACTTTGTCCCGCCCCCTCCCCCCCCAAATCCCCAACCTCACGATATGTTCTGTCACGTCGGCTCCAGGAACGCATCCCCGATTCTCTACAAGCAGTGCTTGCACTAGGGGGGTTCTTACTTATCCAGCTGCTTGCGGGAAGTCCCGTCACAGTTCAAGCCCAACATCTTGCTTGGCGACTGGTTGAAAGGGCGCGGGAGGCCGTTGCGTGTGAAACTTCGTGTCCCCTGGGAGGGAACCATGATGGAGCCGTGGTGATGCTGGTGCTAATGATGATTATGATGATAACGGTGATGATGCTGATGGTGATATCGATGGATATGACGACGATGGTAATGATGATGGCGACAGCTGTGGTGATGGTTATGGTGATAATGATGTTGATGAGGGTGATGCTTGCGATGGTGATTCGGGTGGTTGTCATGATGATGGTGATCAGGCTGGCGATGAATGATGGTGATGCTGATACTGATGATGCTGGTGAGGTTGTTGTCCACGCCGATGATGATAATGATGCTGATGATGATGATGATGATGGTGATGATGATGATGATGATGATGATGATGGTGATGGTGATGACGGTGCTGCTATTGCAGTTGATGGCTATGATTATGGCAGTGATGATAGTGGTCATGCATATGATGATAATGATGCTGATGATGATGATGCTGATGATGATGATGATCATCCTGATGATGATGCTGACGATGATGATGGTGATAGTGATGTGATGATGCCGGTGGT